AGCTTTACTCTTGCTTAACTTCAAAACTTAAGTCTTAAAACGACGTTAAAACATTGTTAAAGACCCTTGAAAACTTTAAGAAACTTTGTTTTGACTTGCTTCTTAACTTCTAGATTTGACTTATAACTTCTTTGACTTTGAACTCAACTTTCCTTGAATTGGATTATGGATTCAAGGTTCATGATCTCATGTTTATGGATGATTTCATGATGTTTAGATATACTTTAGAGTGTTGGAATCGACTAGGAAACATAGGTACATCACTTAGGAACAAGTACGAGAAGGTGGGGAAAGAATGGGGAGAACTGGCGTCCGTGACGCTCTGAGAGGCGCGGGGCGGCAACCCTCAAACTTCAGAGGACCAACTGGGGCGCGATGGCTGGCGCGTTTCCCCAAGGGGTGAACTTTAGAGCCTCTTTAGGGGCGCGCTGGCTGGCGCGATGCCCTACCCCCTTCCCCAGGTTTTTGACGATTTTCTTCTCCATTTTTCATCTCTAAGCCCTTCTTACTTCCATGGTTCTTTCCCAAACATTTAGGATCAAAAGTACTCTCAACTTACAACAGATCTAACTCAAAAATCCACCCGAAAACACGAATAAAATCAACAAGAAACTTCAACAACACAACCATCAAGAACTTAACGATGTCCTTCAAGAACTTCACTTTTTAACATGTAAACAACCCAAAATCGCTGAATTGAAACAAGTTGGTGTGTGGGTGAACTAAACCATCACTAAAAGATCTCACATACCTTAATAGGGATCACCCCCGACGAATTCCACTCCAAACGCTTGACGTTCTTGGCGAAATCTTGGCTTTTCTCCCTTTCTTTCTTCTTTTCTCTTTTCTCCAAGCCCTAAGCGTGAATTTAATTTTACTAATCTGACCAAAATAAGTTTTTACCCCAATAAATCCCTAAAAACGAATTAGGAAATAAATTAGAGAAAAGACTACTTTACCCTTCCCTAACTCCGGATTGGGACTTCCTCAATCCAACAGCCAACTTCCGAAAGGCATATCTCACTCATATGATGTCGAAATCGTGCAAACTTGGCGGTGTTGGAAAGATATCTCCAAGGGATTTTCCAACCATATCAAGAAATACTCCTAAATCATCCTGAGCTAGGAGTTATGGCTATTTGAAAATGGCCAAAACTCACTTTCTTAACTTAGACAAAAATTTCCAGACTTCCTTAATCTTTCCAAAAATCAATATTTCCATATTTTAAACTCTTTATAGTCGTTTCTAGATGCGAGATGTTACATAAGTGAATTGGGTACTACAATCGAAATAATGGACAAAGGCACTCCATGCAACTTTACCAATTCTCTCAAGTACAACATAGCATAATCCTCCGCGGAATAAGAAATCTTGACGGGAATGAAATGGGCTTATTTCGTCATTCGATCTACTATAATCCAAATCGAGTCATGTTGTCGTCTAGTGAGCGTTAAACCAACAATGAAGTCCATATTCACATCTTCCCAATTCCAAGGAGGAATGCTAATGGATTGGGATAAACCTCCCGGTTTCTGATGCTCAAGTTTCACTTGTTGACAATTAGGGCACTTAGCCATAAATTCCATAATATTCTTCTTCATCCCATTCCACCAATAGATCTCCCGCAAATCACGGTACATCTTGGTGGCTATTGTGTGAATGGAATACCAAGAACTATGGGCTTTTGACAAGATCTGCTCCCTCAAGCTGTCTACATTGGGAACACACAAACGAACTTGATATCTAAGTACCCCATCTCCCCCTTGGGAGAAAGCCTCTACAGACTTTTTAAGCACCGCCTCTTTCAATTCAACCAAAGTCGGATCAAGACCTTGCTTGGCCTTCACATCCGCCACAAAAGACGATTCTGAGCCGCTGTTAACCATAACACCACCCTTGGTAGAGTCCACTATGTGAACACCCAACCGGGCAAATCTATGAACATCTCAAACCAACTCTTTTTTGTCAACAAGTGCAACACTTCCCATAGATAATCGACTAAGGGCATCTGCCACCACATTTGCCTAACCAGGGTAATAGAGAACACTCATATCATAATCTCTCATTAACTCAAGCCACAGTCTTTGGTGAAGATTTAGATCCTTCTGATTAAACACGTATTGCAAACTTTTGTGGTCAGTAAAGACATCCACATGAACACCATACAAATAGTGCCTCCAAATCTTTAAGGAAAAAATAACCGCCACTAGTTCGAGGTCGTGGGTAGGATAATTCTTCTCATGAATTTTAAGTTGTCTTGAAGCTTAGGCAATGGCTAATTCATTTTGCATAAGAACAAATCCTAACTCAATTCTTGAGGCATCATAATACACCACAAAACCATCAGTCCCTTCCAGTAAGCTCAACACCGGAGCGGTAGTAAGTCTATCCTTCAATTCATAAAAATTATTTACACATTCTTCGGACCATATGAACTTAGCCTTCTTTTGAGTCAATGTTGTCAATGGAGAGGCAATCGATGATAACCCCTCAACAAACCTTTTGTAGTAACCAGCCAAACCCAAGAGACTTCTAATATCTGAAGGGGATAGAGGTCTAGACTAACTCTTAACCGTATCCGTCTTCTTAGGATCTACCTCAATACCCTTACTTGAAATAGTATGACCAAGGAAAGCCACAGACCTCAACCAAAATTCACATTTGCTAAACTTTGCAAAAAATTGTTGGTCCTTGAGAATTTGTATCACGATCCTGAAATGATCAATATGCTCATCCTCACTTCTTGAATATATCAATATATCATCAATGAACACAATCACAAACATGTCAAGGTGTTGTCTAAACACCCTATTCATCAATTCCATAAATGTCGTCGGAGCATTAGTCAACCCAAATGACATCACCAAAAACTCATAATGACCATACCGAGTTCAAAAGGCCGTCTTTGGAATGTCATCTTCCTTCGCCCTCGATTGGTGATAACCCAACCGAAGGTAAATCTTGGAGAAGTAACTCACTCCTTGAAGTTGGTCAAACAAATCATCTATCATTGAAAGAGGATACTTATTCTTAATGGTCACCTTGTTCAATTGACGATAGTCAATACATGTACGAAGGGAACCATCTTTCTTTCTAACAAACAAAACTGGAGCACCCCATGGAGAGATAATCGGTTGGATGAAACCAGTACAACAAAACTGGTCATTAATGAGGGGAATTGTGGTCGCTAAAAGTACAAATCCGGTCTCTAATTGTCAATAATGACTGGACCAAATCCGGTTGTTGCCCGTCGTTAAAAGCTCCGACATTAAAAGCTTAACGACAGGTTTCTATCCAGTCGTTGAAAGAAGATTTAACGACCACATAAATTCCAGTCGTTATATGCCCTCTTTAGCGACCAGATTTTCCCTTAGTACATGTACTTTTTGCAACCAAAATTGCTTTCGCAAATTGTATGTTAGTTTCAATACCAATACTTTTAACGATCAAGTTTTCCGTCGTTAATATCCGTTTCATTATTTGATAAGCCGTTGGTAAATGACTTTTAGAAAACTCATTTTCATTTTCTATTATACAATAATTTATACTAGCAAATAATATTAATTGTTTCATACATTGGAACACAAGAAAATATACTTAGTAATTGAATGTACAACTTCATTGTTAATACAAAGAACTAATTTTAAAAAATATTACATAAAAGTTATATGACAGATCTTTATCAACTCCTAAAAAGAGAAAAAATGAAACATATATAAATAATAAGATATCGTCTTTCAACTACATTTCTAATCAAAGTAAAAGTACTCTTGAACTTCAACTTGCTCGATACTTTCTTCAATGATAGACTCTTCATATTCAAATTCTTGAGCTGTAAAAAAGAAATTTATGTCAGTATACTAACAAGAAAATAAACTGATAAATAAAAAACATAAAACCTCAACATATTTACTAAAAAGGATGCAGAACATTAAAGTTTCTAATAAAAGCACCTTGATTCTTATAATTCATTATCACTGCAAACTTCAGTAGAAACTTTAGCAGCTGCATCATTCCATATTCCTCTTGCAAAATACATATTTTGATAAAAGTCAAGGCCAACTGGGTGTTCCTATACAAAATATTGTCTAGGAGATCCACAATTAGAGGATGTAAGAAGACAAAACTAGCTAGTGCATTGGGTTGTCAAGATTACAAACTATAGTTAGTTTCAGTGTTTAGATTCTCTCATAAGCAAGGTTGGGGTTGTTCAGGCCTTGTTTTTTCCTTGTTCGTACATGGCACTTTTGGTAATAATTTCTGTTATTTACTAAAAAAGAAGAAGGCCGAAGGCTTAGAAGTCTCTTCTCTACAAGATCACTAAAATAAAAATTCTCATGGACTCTACAAAAACTAAGTGATGTCTCCCGAGCATGAGCAGAGAGATCAAGAGGAATTTGTTTGACATTCTTTGGCAGTGCCTTCCATTCTCTAGTTTTATACATTCTTTGGCAGTGCTTTCCATGTTATACCTCATTTACAGATGAACTCCATCTATTCATTGTACTATGTCCATATGAGTATAAACATCAATTATATCACACTCTCTGTATGCTCTTAAAACACCTAGAATTCATCTCTTTCCAGATTACTCACCATAATGAAGCATTGATAATTCTACATCTAGCTCTTTCTTTAGAATGTACAGTTGCATAATCACAGCTTTTCTGATCTTTAGTGTTAGTGGTGTCCATTCAAAGTAATGTATTTAAGGGCTGCTGAAAATCATATTTATGGACATATCTATCTTTAAGGTAGTAAGTTAAATAGTTGTCCAGGTTATACTTTTCTTAACATAGTGCAGTAGTCTTCCACTAAAGACACTACAATTTCATCAAATCAATTCAAATTCCCAGCAAAAGTTTACATGACAACCAATTACTTGTATGACCCAATTGCTCTGTTCAGTACAAAAATTTGCTACAGTACATAAACAAATAACTAAACAAAAAAAGATTACCCCTTCAAAAATACATTTTTTTGTTGGTAGGTTCAGCACAAAGAACTGAAAAACTAACTCTATTTAGTGTTTAAGTTTAACATGCTCTACTTTAGTTAGTATATCACATTTTTCTCTGGTAAATAAATTCAGTTAGCTTAAGGCCATAGTTAAGCTCTCTCTTTCTTCTATATTTTACTACTAGTATCTGCTTTTGATGTACTCAGACTAAAGATTTCTAAATGAATTGAAGAGTATAACACCAATGAGGATCTTTCTATTGTTCTCAATTTTAGTTCCCGAAGCTCTTAATCAGATGACTCCTGATGCAGGTATTCAATAATGAAATTCTCAATAGGCATGTGTACATACATCTTCCTAAGAGATCCCATCACATATTTAAGAGGATTTCTTCAGAAAATGAAGTAACTCAGTGATCAAGGAGGATCATGTATCTAATCCCACACTTCCCTAACAAGATGTATCATAGAATCAAATTCATTAATACACTTACAAAAGCAGAAACTTACCTTGATGAGAAGAACACTCTAAGAATATGTAGTCCAATAGATGAGCAAGCTTGATGATATATAAGTGATGAGTGGTAACGAGAAATGAATGGAGTTCTTCTTTAAACACATGCCACTGTTGAATAAATTCCTAACTTTAATCAATCTATTGATTTTCCTCTTAAATAAATAATAATTAAGATAAGAAGATTCTGTAGTAATCACATTATTATAAGCAGTAGCTAAACACTTAAGGATTGTAGATAATACTTCATCATCTAATATCAGTTGCTAAAGTAGTAGCAAGCCAACATCTGTTAACAACAACTAAGTCGACATTACTTGAGGTGCAATAATACTTTTAGCATATGCGAAAGTAGGCAAGCAACATATTATATACTTTAATGTTACATCATATAAGCACTCAACAAAAACTATCAAATTGAGGCTAGTCGCAACAATACAAGTTACAATAATGTAGCAAATGTACATACTATGCAGTAGATAAGACAAATAGTAAACAATCTTATAAAAAGTGAAGAAAATAATGAAGAAATCATAGCATAATATAAGAACTTGCATTAACCTTACAAAACACGAATTGAAAATACATTCCCATTATGGTGACAAAACATTCCATGGAAGGGGGCAATGACTTCGTTTTTTGGATTTGATCTCACAATAAATTATGGCTCGCGGAATGTTTCAGTTATCACCTTTGGATAACCTCGAATCGGGAATGTTACTTTTGTGTCCAACTATATCAAATGGGTGCCAAATACAATTCAGGTCACACATAAAGATGATATTGTCCCTCATCTGCTGCCATACTATTACAATTTCCCTCATTTTGTAAGAAGTAAATTAGTAGGATCTGTTATACTACATGATATTTGGTATTTTGAGAAGTAATGATCGTTTTCGCATGAGCCAAATTAAAGATTTAGAAATATGCCATTCAATGTGGGATAGGGAGATGTTTATTTTCATGTATTGATACCTAGGAATGAGTTTGCAGGAACAACGTGGTGAAGAGCATCTTGATTAACTAGATAAAGACATTATAAAGTCTAATATCGAGTTGCATAACATTGATATTGTGGAGCCTGACAATGATCCTCCACATGTATGTCATGAAGGGGTTTGGTGGATGCAATTATAGCGTTGTCTTTTATACTTAAAATGAGCTTTTCATTGTTGTCTAATTACAAATGGGAGATTCTACAAGGGAAGTAACAGATGAAAATCCAGATGTTGCCCAAATATCAAAAGTGAAAGAATCGGATGTAATATATGAAGGCATGTTAATCTTTACCTAATTGTGTAATGAAGATCCTCTTTTTACAAAACTGATTAGAGAAGTTACACCTTATTGGAACTGTTCATTCCTCGAAGGCAAGCTTAATGAAGCCATAAATCATTTAACTGAACCTATTTTGTCGAATCCAAATTTTGCAGTATTATACACAATAAGAGGTTTGTATCTGCCCTATTTACCATATTAATGTTAGTTATTTCGTATCATGTCCTTCATGTGGTCTTTTGACAAATACTAATGTCTATGCAGCTAATGTCTTTATTAAGCTGAAAAACCCAATGCCGCAATCCGTGATGTTGATGCTGCTTTAAAGGTGTTTCAAAAGCTATTTCAAGTCATTCTTACATTAGCTAGAAAGAAATTTCAAGTTCATTTATGCTTGTGACTGTATTTTGGAGTTGTAAGTCCTAATGACGCTTGCATCATTTCATTGAATGTCAACCCTGACTCAACAAAAGGACACAAAGTGAGGGGTATAGCTTGAGCAATGTTGGGCTTATGGAAAGATGCAACTAGTGATCTTCGTGTGGAATCTATGATATGTTTTGATGAAGAGATAGCCAAGATACTTACAAAGGTCATACATTCAAACTTCTCCTTGTCCATTACGCCTTCTCTCTGATGTACCTGAACCTTCTAAATGGGTCACATGGTTTTCTATTATATGTAGTTCAATTTCATTGTTTGACTTAATTTAAGAGCAAGAGAAGGAAAAAATTTCTTCAAACTTTAAAAAGGAAGTTCTTTGGCCTGGACATATGGCAGTTTGAACCTAATGCTCAAAATATTGAAGAGCACTGCTGAAAGTATTAACAGTTGCAAGAAGAGAAGAGGTTGAGGAATATTGAGCGTGATAGCCAGCGGCGTCAGGCATAACCAAAGGTGTTTTTAAGTGTATTGAAAGTAGTTAGTCACTAATTGGCTGCTTTTCATTCCTCTTTACATCAGTTTGCACTGCAGGCAGCTTATGAAAAGAGTAAGAACAAAGAACAACAACCTATGAATGAAGCTTCTGTAAGTTTTCTTGGGTATACACTTGTGTTCCCGCTCTCACACGGTCTGATTTTTGAAGTATGATGCTCACTGTTAGCTAGTTATATCTGTTCATAATTTAGTTTGTACCTAAAGCTGACATCCTTGTTGTTGAGACATCATTTGATTGGTTATTAACTACTCATTACCGAACTCCAATTTCCCTGCTTAGTCCCCCACTCTAAAGGTGTAGACATTGGCAAATAAGGATCTCAATAAGTAATATTTTACTATTGTAATTAACTAAACTCAATGAGAATAGTGTGACAGTTCAAATCTATAAAAGAAAAAGGGCACAACTTTACCCAGCTACCCATCCCAAGCTCAAGAAGGCCCAAATATGAATGTACTGGAGCTAAGCCTCTACTGTAAAGAAATTCACCTTCTAGCTAACTCAATCTCAAAAGCTAACACATGAAGTGAGATTATCCAAGCTATAAAAGGAGTTAAAATAACATATTCCCTCACTAATATGAGACATTCTAACACCCATGATATGCTCAAAAAACTTGCAAACCAATCTGCACCTCGTCTACTCTCTTTTTAATAAATTTATCCAATCCTACTTGATCTTCATATATCGAGCTCAAAAAAAGAAAAAGAATATAAGTTACAATACGGACCACATGATATTTTCCCCAAACTGAGTATTACATCTCCATGCTTGCTCAATGAATGAGAAAATAAGACAGTATTTCACATGGAGATGCTTCAGTTTCTATCTTAGCACATTGGCACTCTCTGTTATTTATTCAAGACTTACAGCTGACACTAACATACTTTCCTAAAATAAAAATCTACCAAACGTAGTCCTCCACACCTCTGTTATTCCAAACTACAGCTAACATTTTTAGATTTTGTGACCAGCCAACTCCATTTCTTAAAACAGGTATGCATCAACTGGCAAACTAACAACAAATCAGACGTATACAATAATGGTGTGGTTCTTCTAGAGCTATTGACAGGCCGTGTACCAATTGATACAAAGCAGCCTCCTAACATGTGTTGGTCTCATCGGTCAGTATCTAATACTACACATCTATAAACATTAGTACCAATTAATATTTTAACCAGTTCTAGAGCGTTATCTGCCTTACTTCAACCTAATAGTATATCAGTTATTTATAATATTGTTAGTGTATAAAAATTAATATCAACAACGAAACTCTTTCCCTATACAAGATTCAAGGGTTTAATTGAAACAATGCCTAAATCTGTTTTCTCTATTATTTTAGGCTCTTCCAAGGTTGACAAATAAAGAAAAAGCAGTTGAAATGGTAGATCCAACATTACAAGGGCATTACACAAAGAAGGATCTAATCCAGGTGAATGTTAATAACATTATAGTACTTTTTAATCATCATTCTTGTAATACTACATATGAAACCAAATCTAATGTTTCATGTTTCTTTGCTAATCCATGTGCATGCAAACATAAGTAGATTATCGTTCATTAACGGTTGTGGTGCAATCCTTATAAAAGTATTTAAGACCAAGTTTATAGTTTCATGGAACTTATGTGGAAATATCTATTTCAATTTCGTGACACACTTGACTGTAAAGATTAGACAAGATTCAAGTACATATTCATAATTATATTCTGTTTAAGTGATTAGGCAATAACTTTTCTTTCAATTTCCTACCGCTATACAAGTAAAAATACATTAGTTTCCACCAACTTCTACTTGCAGTCTATTCTCTATAGAATGAGATGCATATCCACTCGTTTTATTTTCAATCAAAGATCCTACCAGGAGTTCACATTAGTACAAACAACACATATGGTTAGCCCCAATAAACTCAAGTGCACGAACACAAAAGAATATCGAGATGGAATCATATAGTGCAAATTCAGAATTGGGCAAAATACAAAATAGGGAAAATTCAAGCATTTCACAAAGCAATTGATAGTTATAATAACAAAATTTTACCTTGAAGAGCCGAAAACTCCAAGATCGCGTCCGATTACATCAATGGCAGCAAGGTCACAACAAGCAGTAAGAAGAGAAGACTGATTTTGTTATTTTGCCATCAAACCAAAGAGACCCAGATTACCTCTTTATAAGTTTGAATAGAGAGATGTGCGTATCTCAATCAACTGATTTTCCTTTAAGTGACGTGCAATTGTGTATCTCTTCTTTGCTGATTATATTCTAATAGAAGGGAAATAAGCATGTTTGCCCAATTTCCTCTAAGCTTTGATGAATTTTCTCTGCCTGCACCAGTGATGTGCTTCCACGTGCTTGATGAATTTTCTAAGACTCTTACCAGAAAGTGAAATCTGAAATATGAACATCAACTATCTAGTCTGTTTTCTGCACGAAGGGGAGGGGCTGGGTGCACGAAGAGATGTGTGTGGTTGAGCAAAATAAATAGGAAAATTATTAAATATTGAAAAATTAAAGAGAGAAGTTATTTAACTTAATTAGTACCTTCAATTTTTTAGTATTATTAACTACGGATATTAATCTTTTTAACATCCGGATATTATTCCGTTACTAATATTTAGTGAAAAATTGATTTTTAACTACAGGAAAAATATAGTGACGCTATTAATACACATCTAACGACCGAATTGGTATTCCTTCGTTAAGAACTGGTCGTTAAAAATGAAATTTCTTGTAGTGACCCTTATCCAAAAAATATTTCAATTGTTCTTACGACTCCTTTAGTTATAAAAAATTTGGTAAGAGGAATAGAGATAGGTTGCGTATCTGGGAAAAGGTCAATACCAAAGTCTATTTCTCTTTTAGGAAGATTACCAGGTAGATCATCTGGGAACACTTCCAGAAACTCGTTAACAACGGGGACCGACTCAAGAGTAGGGGTTTTAGAATCCACATCCCTCACCCTAACTAGATGGTATATACAACCATTAGCAACCATCTTTCTAGCTTTTAGACAAGAGACAAACTGACCCTTAGGCATAGAATTTCCCCCTTCACTCTAGGACAGGCTCATTCGGGAACTGAAACTTGACTACACGAGTTCTACAATCAATAGAAGCATAACATGAATGCAACCAATCCATACCAAGGATGACATCAAAATCTAGCATATCAAGCTCTACCAAATCAGCAAGAGTAATCTATGGGACAAGGAGATGATACACTTTCTGTAGACCCTCTTAGCCACAATAGAATCACCAAGAGGAGTAGAGATAGAAAAATGATCTAACAACACATCCGGAAGAACATCAACCTCAAAGTCACATATGGAGTCACAAAAGACAAGGTAGCATCGGGGTTAAGTAACGCATAAACATCAAGTTGAAAGACTTTCAACATATTGGTAACCACATCGGGAGAAACCTCTTGTGCACCACCAGTGAAGTGCATAAAATTTGTTTTGCTTAGGAGCATTTTAACCCGAACCACTTCGATCGGATGAAGGATTAGGTTGAGCCCTTCGAAGATTATCTTCTTCATTCTTAGCAATTGAAGGACAATCTCTTATCTTATGGTCCATCTTATCACAAACAAAACAAGCATTGGAACCCGCTAGACATTTACCCTTATGCTTCCTCCCACATTTAGTACAAGTAGGCAATAAAGGCCCACTATCATTCCCTCCTTGAGGCTTAGGGTTAGACACCCTATCTTTGTTGAACCTAGAAGGAGAATTGGAGGAACCTTGACCGTAAAACCTTTGTCAAAACCTAGAACGACCATGTCCATCGAACCTTGCATGTGAGAAACTATCATCACTAGTTTTAGCCCTCTTTGTCTCCCTAGACTTTTCCTTAAGTTTCTCCTCTTCGATTTGTTGAGCATGAACTATGTCATTAACAAGCATGGAGGGTACGACATTCTATAACAACCATTTCAGACACACTCGAAACAAATTTACTCATCTTTGCCCTAGGATCGGCAACCATTGTGGGAGCATATCGAGACAATTGAGTGAACTTCAAAGCATATTCCTTCACACTCATACTTCCTTGATGAAGGTTGATGAACTCAATCACTTTTGCCTCCTTCATCTCATGGGGAAAGAACCTATCAAGGAAAGCAACTTTGAACTTTTCCCAATCGAAAGGACCCCCATCTTTCGGTCTCCCTTCTTTCCATTGGTTGAACCAAATTTGTGCAACACCCTTAAGTTGATAAGCGGCCAACTCCGCCTTTTCCACCGGCGTCACTCCCATAATCATCAACATCTTTATACCTCATCAATGAACTCTTCAGGATCTTCCACAACCTTAGAACCATGAAACTTCGGGGGATTCATTCTAGTGAAGTCTGTCACTCTAGATGCCGTCGTACCCACATTTGGGTTCACGGGAACTGCAACTTCCCTATTTGCTTGAGCCGTCACGGCTTAGGCCAACACTTGAAAAGCAGCCCTAAACTCCACATTAGTCGCTTGTTTGAGTTAAGGGTCAACCAGACCCTTAGGAGCTTGAGGAGGAGCTTCTTGTTCCATATTCTCCCTCGTATTCCTTCTAGCATAAGATCTTCGAGTAGCCATATCTTGTAGAGCATCAGATAAGGATTATGAGAGAAACCTTATAGAGTTAAACTCTATCACACAACTTTAGGGTAATGAAAGAAGTGGAGTTTCCTAAACATCTTGTAGCCTCTCATTCATAAATGTTGTGTGATTCACACTCATGAACAAGACTCTACTCGATGTGGCTATATGACATCCTAGGACCTTTCTCAACCTTGTGCTCTGATTACCAAGTTTTTCATGACCCAAGGTAGTCCCTAGACGTAACATGGCGTATAGGACTCCGAGAGGCCCCATACAAGCCACTTAGCATTCATAACATAAGAAATAGAACAAAAGAGATAAAGAACAGCATTTCAAGTTCCAAATGTTTTATAAAAGTAAAGTGGAAGTCTAAACACTTGTCTCATTATCCATCTAGTACATAAGAATGAAATTGGGCCTAGCCCATACATAATGTCCAAAACTGAAAGTAAGAAAGAAAACTGAAAACAATGAAAATCCGTTGATGAGTCCGAAGCTTGGACTCATGTAGGGCTTTATTTACAATGATTTAGTATCCTCAAATGCTTATTTTGTGCAAATAATTGATGCAAAACCCTTGATTTCCAAGTACATGGATTGAGGAACAAATCTAGGATAGAAATGGGAAATAGAGACAACACAAGCGAAAAAGAGAAGGGAAAAACAGGCGTGATGATCGCCGATGCCACTCGGCGACTCGCCAAGTTGCCACTCTACCGCCTAAAGTTACAGAATGTTGAGGCTAAATTAGGGGTAACTTCGGCGAGTAATAGCTCCATTTGGTGTGTCGCCGATCGCTTTGGTGTTGGATAACCAGGTCGCCAAAAGTGCTGATGGAGATCCAAACAAGTGCTAATGGGCAAGATGAAAGGAGAAAGGGCGACTTGCGGAACCACTCTGCAATGCCGATTTGGATCACCTAAAATTACAGTGGCTAGGAGGAAGTGAAAAATGAAGGCGAGAGGAAGGAAAATTAGCGAGTTGCCGAACTGTCGGCGAAGCCCGACTTACCTCGCTGATTGGTCCTAAACAGTCATACATCAGACTTGCATAAATTGATTTTTGCTAGATAGAGAAGCATTCAGAAAAGATAGGAACACAAGATTAAGAGTGAAAACACTACCATTGTGAATTTGAAGTGATTTTAGTAAGGTTTTTCATTGAAATTTTGTAGTAGAGAAGATTTTTAGTTAACTTTAACTTTCAATTTTCATTTTACCCAGCTATGGAAAACATGGAAGAAGTTGATTCTCCTCTTTTTGCTATGATTGGCTAAAACCCTCTCCTTGGGGTTTTGACTATGTGACCAATTTTTGAGTTTTCCTAAGTGGGTGTCATTGATTTGCGAATAATGGTGTTAATTCGAAGTGGGTCTGAACTGCTGCATTTTGAGGTCATATTGCATGATTAGGGTAACAAGTTCAGTGTTTTGTGCTTGCTCGAGAGAGAAGTGCGAAGCCAAAGTAGCAAATTTAGCATCCTTAGTAGTGGGTCACCATGATTTTAGCTTGAGAAAGTTAAACATGGAATCTATCCTTTGTATCTAGCTTGAGAGAGTGGATTTGATGAAGACGAGGTCTGGGCATCTTCCGTCTAGTGTTGAAGTTTGAGAGAATTTGACAAAGATAAGGTAATTGTTTGAGAGAAAATTGCTTTACATAAAGTTTGACCTACCCACGAAAATTTATCCTATTGTGAGCATCAATGTTCACCCACTAAGTTGAATTCAATAATTGGTTGGTCAACTCCCCAAGTGTTACCTCACTATTTGATCGTTTCGTGTTGAGTATTGAATTGGAGTGATAATTATAACCTAAAATTTGAAGCTTAAACCAAAAAGGTGCAGTAAGTGTTCAGTTGAAGAAATTGTTGTCATACTTCTATAATTGAATTCGAAGGAAAAGCTACTCTCTGTGGGATCGACCCCAACTTATTTAGTTGGGTTATTATACTGACTAGCGATCGTTGACACATAGAATTGGATGAAGCGTCCTTGAAACGTTAATCAAAATGGCGTTGCTGCCGAGGAGTAACATTACTTAGAATTCTATGATTGGAGATTTGATTTGTGAATTTGTTGGTTGTAGTTGAATTGGCTTAGGCTGCATTGCGTAGTGTTGGTTGGGCGACATAGAAGTAAAAATGAGTGAAGAAAAGGTGAATGGTAGTCAACAGGTCATCGGGGCGGGATCGATGATATCAATAGTGTTTACAACCCATCTCATGCAGGTCAAATGGGTGAAATTTGCATACCACAATCTGATGGGAATGCAATATTTGAGGTCACTAGCACGACTCTTCATCTCCTACAAATATGGGGGCTCTATGGAGGGATAGAACACGAAAACTCGCATGAGCATGTACGAAATTTTACAGAGGTGTGCAACCCATTTTCATTCAAGAATGTGTCTCAAGAGTCAATCCAGTTTCGATTATTTCCATTATCTTTAACGCGGGAGGCTAGCAAGTGGTTGGCCGAGTTACCGAACAATTCCATCACATCATTGGAGGAGCTGATTATAGCAATCAATGCAAGATTTTTTCCCTCATCAAGGATGATGAAACTTAGAGACGACATTCAAGGTTTTAAGCGATAGGAGGGTGAACCCATCCATGAAACGTGGGTGAGGTTTAAGAAACTCTTAGTTAAATGCCCAACTCATGGGCTACCAAATGATTTGCTACTCCAATATTTTTATCGGAGTCTAGATTCGGTTAATAAAGGAGTGGTTGATCAATTGGTATGAGGGGGAATTATGTTGCAATAGTTTGAAGTGGCTTCATTCCTTCTTGATGACATGACGAAAATAAATCAAGCTTGGTACACTCAAGAGGATCAAGTCTCTCTTTTTTGTTTTAGAATGACACAAGAACAACTTGATAAGGA